TGCAATTATTACATCAAGTGTAAATATTACATAATTTTTATGCAAATATTACAACTTTACATATTAAAATTTATGGATGTAATATTGCAGTGGGGAAAATTTCCTGATGCTATTTGTGCGTGTCAAAAATGGTCAAGTGCCTAATTTGCTCAACCTAGTGGTTCAACTTAAGATTCTTGAAGAATCTGAAAATGAGAGTGAGATTGGTTACAATGAAGAAGAACATCAGGAAATTTTCCCTTCTGTAATATTACATCCATAAATTTTAATATGTAAAGTTGTAATATCTGCATAAAAAATTATGTAATATTTACACTCAATGTAATAATTGCATAATTTTTGTATTATTTTTGCATAATATTATGGGGCTTGCCATAAACTTACATAAATGGTGTAATAATCATGTAAATCCATGTTAGAAAAAATTTCCTGATGAATGTGAAGAAGGATCAATAGATTTTGATGAAACATCCTTTGATGTGTTTACTGAATTGACAACAATGGAGAAAGATGGAGATTTAAAAATAAAGATATGGTAAAAGAAGTAAGCACATTTACTAGAGTTGCCTTCCAAAACTCATGAGTTTAGAACTATTCAAAACTAAAACCATTCTAAACTGGTTTAGAAAATGAGCCCGAATTCCTAAACTGTTCAAAACTTCTAAACTGTTTTGAAACTCCAAAAAATTCCAAACCAAACAAATATTCTCAACCTTTATTTTTTTATTTTTTCTTAATAAAAAAAAAAACAACCAAAATACTACTATTATCATTATAATAAAATTTTAAAAAAATAATAATTTTTTACATATTTGGCAGAGGTGAAATTTCAGGAATTGCATCAAATCAAATACTTCTTCAGAACTTTCTTCCATACTCTCATCTTCTACCTCAATATTATCATTTAAATCATCATAATCCTCATTAAATATTGGATTATTTAAATCAACCATCTCATTAACAATTAAAACATAAACTTCTTCATTTGGTATTTCTAATCCTTCACCTTCACTGTCATCTTCCCTATAAAAAATTGGCATGGAAATGTATGGGAAAATGTATGGAAAAGTACAGGAAAATGTATGGAGGGCGCAGTTTCTGTGCATTTTCCATGCATTTTCTGTATTTCCCATTCAAAAAATAATTGGACAATGTACAGAAAATGCAAGGAAACTGCGCCTTCCATACATTTTCCATACATTTTCGAGGGATTTTCCTGTACTTTTCTGTACAAAAATCGCATTTTCCATACAAATTCCATGCATTTTCCCATACATTTCCATGCCAAATTTTTTATAGGGCTTCACTATCACCTTCATCATTATCATCAAAAAATCCACTTCCTTGGACTAGAGATCTTAGTTCTTCTTCATATCTTTCTTTAGATTCATAATTCAACTCATTTTTAATATTTTAATATAAATAATATCTAATTTTTCTCATATCTTCAATTATAGACAAACCAAGACATTGCCATCTTTTTCCATACAAGAATCCTAGTGCAGAAAATGCTCTCTCACAAGCAGCATTATGAGGAGTGATTGAGAAAATTTTAATTTCTAAACTCTTTACATATTCATTTGAATCATCGATAACTTGCCACCAAGTTCTTGGTCTTGTATAAGAAGAAGAATATTGGATAGAAAAAACACCTTCTGAACATTTAAAGTTTGCCATTTTACCTATTAATTCTGCTACTTTATTATTAGAGTGATTTTTTTTATTCATATTACAAAAGATTTCCTGTGCATATTTAGTTAAATTTGGCCAAACAGTTGATTTTAAACCAACCCCTAAACAAAAATAAGATGTCAATAATTTATATATATATTAAATTCTTTTATAATAAAAAAAATGTTAAATGCTTACCACAGTATAATGGGCAAAGAAAATATGCAAGCAAATATGGATGTATTTCAAAAGATTCCCATCTATTATTGATGACTTTAATACAATGGTTCCTAAATTCAATTAATCCACATTCAGGTGAAATTTTGTTGATATTGACTGCAAGTTTCACAAGTTGGATGAAACAATCTGCAAGGTTAACATTTGTTCCTTCCAAATTGAGAATTGCTTTTTGTAATGGCAACAATACAGAAGTTACCAGTCCAACATCATGAAAGAAACCTCTTAGACCAAGAATATGCTTCACCTTATCATTTGTAAGTAAATTTTTATGACTTTCATAAATTTCATAAATAAATTGAAAATTTTGTTATCATATATTATAATCTTACAGATGACAAAATAAAAAATAAATAAGTAATTGGGCAGCAAGTATAATCCAGATAATTTTTCTCTGGATGGCAAATTGTACCCAGGTGCAACAATTTGAAATAAATCAATTATAAAAGGATTTTCTATGGTATGGAAAGAAAAACCACAACAAATCCAAGCTTTTAGAATGGCTTGATCCAATAAATGGGCTTTTGCAGATGAAATTGGAGTATTAGAATGGAAATGACTGGTAATAGTTGGTTGATTTATGGTTCGTTTATTTTTAGTATTAGATGAAGTGTTTTCAGCTAAATAATTACACCATAAGTTTTTTATATTTTCTGGGACATCTTCACAGATTCTTGCTAAATGCACTTTCATGTCTTGCGGTCTTCCTCTTGTCCATCCTCCTCCACACCACTTGCATGATGCTTTATAGTGACCACCACCTAATGATTCTCCTTTATTCACATATTCCCAGATATCATCAAGCCTTCTACCACCTTTTTTTTTAATTGAAGAACTAATTTCATCTCTATTTAACAAAGAAACAT